AAAGTCTATTTCTGATTACCTGAAATTTTTAAAGTTTTCAACACACAATTGTGGGGCGGAGGGGGGGGGACAGTTTGTAGTTTATTTTGTGAAGTAACAAAATAAACGTCTTGGCCCAGCGATGAGAAATCCCACAGATTTACTTTCTGCTCACTGTTCACTCAAGGAATTAACAGATTCAGGGGCTTTTTTTGGAGAACAGGTTATGGACTGCACGTGTGATCAATTTGTTTTTAAAAATTGAGCCCTAGGAATTGTTTCAAGCAGCCAGAACTGAAAGGTGCTCTTAATTCTTCCTTGTTGATTTTTTTTTAAAGTCTATTTCTGATTACCTGAAATTTTTAAAGTTTTCAACACACAATTGTGGGGCGGAGGGGGGGGGACAGTTTGTAGTTTATTTTGTGAAGTAACAAAATAAACATCTTGGCCCAGCGATGAGAAATCCCACAGATTTACTTTCTTCTCACTGTTCACTCAAGGAATTAAAGGATTCAGGGGCATTTTTTGGAAAACAGGTTATGGACTGCAGTTGTGATCAATTTGTCTTTCCTTGCAAAGATTGAGTTGGCGTGAATTTCTGAGGCTGTAGAGGCTTGGGAATGGGTTGAGGACACTGGGAAAGCAGACCAGCAGATTCTGAAATTTTTGTAAGATTTCCACACAAAATTGTGGGTGGATTGGGGGGGGGGAAACGATTTGTGGTTTATTTTGTCAAGGAACGGAAGAATCAAACATCTTGGCCCAGAGATTAGAAATCCCACAGGTTTACTTTTTTCTCACTGTTCACTCAAGGAATTAAAGGATTCAGGGGCTTTTTTTGGAGAACACGTTATGGACTGCACGTGTGATCAATTTGTCTATACTTGCAAAGATTGAGTTGGCGTGGATTTCTGAGGCCGTAGAGGGTTGGGAATGGGTTAAGGACACTGGGAAAGCAGAGCAGCAGATCTGGAACTCGGGACCTTAGGAGAAGATGTTGGGGAGCCAGGAGACGAGCATGAAAAGCATCCGCCCGTACAGGACCAGCGAGCAGTACCTCTACGCCATGAAGGAGGACTTGGCAGAGTGGTTGAAGGGCCTCTACCATCTGAACATCCAAGTGGAGTCCTTCCTGGATGTCCTGGAGACCGGAGTCTTGCTTTGCCACCATGCCAACACCATCACCCAGCTGGCGCGAGACCTCAGCCAGGAGTACCCCGGGTTACCCCACGCGATCCAACTCCCCACGCACGGAGTGACCTGCAACGACTTTGCTCAGCCGGGGACCTTCCAAGCCCGAGATAACGTCTCCAACTTCATTCAGTGGTGCCGTCAGGAGATGGCCATTCAAGGTACAGGGGAGTGAAGCGAAGTAAAAAATCATACACTAGGACTCCCTGATCCACGGAATCAGTATCCGCTGATTCACTTATCCGTGGTCGCAAAATATTAAAAGAAAATCCTAAAGTTCATCTTTAGACTATGTATTTCTAAAGATGAACTTACCAGAATGGACCACCAGAGGGAGCAAGACTATGACTATGTCATTTCCAGAACAGGCCACAAGAGGGAGCCAAAGATCATGCTTGCTCTCTCTCTCTCTCTCTCTTGCTTTTGCTATAATTCAAATTTTTCAGCATTTGCAGGAGGGCTTGGAAATGCGGATACAGTGCTTGTACTGTAAAAGAGCTGTGTCCCATTGGAGAGGAACCCATCTATTTTAGCGTGAGCTTTTGTGGGTTGTAATCTGTGTTCCTGAATGTCTATCGACCACGGTAGCTCATGGAGACCTACGACTCTTTAAGAAGAGATCACTCTTATTTTTTTTACTTTTACTATGCTGGATGAAACAGAGACAGATATTCCACTGCCAACACTTCCTTTCTGCCTGCCTGCCTTCCCATGCATTGTATTTATTGCAACATCCATGTACAAAATGAAGTGAAGTAAAGGAAAACATCAGAAAAAAGAAATAGGCCCAGAAAGTTCAAACTGAAAAAATGCAGGGAACAAGACCTTCTCAGTTTCTGTCTTTTATTCTTTCTCACTCTTAACTTCAGAGGCTTGCAAAAAAACCTCCCCAGCTGTCAGGATCTCACTAACTGTATACATTTGTTGTAAGAGACATGGTGCTGTTGCTTTTCTCCTCTGCACATTATAGCTACCGTGTCTGATTCCTTGACTGTTAGAATGCATCTGATTCCCTTGCACTGGTTTTCTGATCCCCTTCCAAATGCTTCACCGTTGGAAAGGGAGGCTGGCCGTGCTTCTCGCTTTCATGAGAAGAGAAATCACGGATGTCCAAGTGAACACATTTCCCTGTCTATAGTTTCCCTTCTTTTCATCTCCTTCCTCACTTCCTCCTTGGTAAAGAGGCTGCTGGCCTTCCAGAGAGGTGGATAATGAGCTTTGTAGTCCAAAAGGCACAACATCTCTTAGTGGCTCTTCCTTCCCTCCCCCCGGTTCTATTTCAGATGTCTTGATGTTTGAGACAGATGACCTGGTTTTGCGTAAAAACGAGAAGAACTTCGTCTTGTGCCTCCTGGAAGTGGCACGCCGAGCCTCCCGCTTCGGCATGCAGGCTCCCATCCTCATCCAGATGGAGGAAGAGATTGAGGACGAGATCCGCGAGGACCTGAAGCTGCCGCCGGAAGAGACGCCCCTGCCCAAGCCTCAGAGGAAGGCGCCGGACTTCAAGAACCTAGACCAGATGGTACAGACACCGTTCCGGGTGGGGAGACGAACTTGATGGGGGAAGACTGGAATCTATGACCTGGGCCAGGCAACCTGGGGCTGAGGGGAACCCCTCAATGTCCCAAAGTAATTTTATAACCCCAAAGGCCCTGTTTTTGGACTCCCGTCACCTTTTCCCCATATTTGTTAAAGTTATGTGGTCGAAGAATTCTAGCTCTCCGCATTATATAGAGTGTACAATTTCCTGTACTTTGGTACCCCAGTATTGGTACTGTCTGGCTGGGGCACAACGCTGGCTCTCCATTTTTATCCTTTTCGTAACTCACTCATTTTGGTGTTATGCTTCGGATCAAGAAAATGGCCCGAATCTTGTTGTTCGGTTACGCAAACAGTGTTAATTCTTTCTGGCCAATTGGCACTAAAAGCTAAGAACTCTCTCTAGACATTAGCAGTGGCACGCTGAGTCAACTCGGCATGCAATACATCGTGCCGAGGGATTTTTCTTAATGTACGGCAATTTGCCTCCAAAATTTGCACAGTTTGCGTAACTGCACGACAGGATTTCAGCCGACGACTAGCCATCCTGTTTGCCTAAACGCAGAGTGGAAGGGAAATGACGCAGTTGTCCTTCCTGTGGTGTCTGTCATTCTCTCCAGCACTAACCAATCGTTCCTTCCCTGCCTCTGAATGCAAAGAAAGCCCCGCCTCCCTGCTGAGTGTCCTATTCCCTCTCTTTCGTCTGTCGGCAATCAGATTGTTAGTTTGCTGTTGATGTGTTCACCACCGTAAATATTGAAATTTTTAATTATTCCTCCTACAAATGTCCCAGAATGAGTTACTGAGTGCCAATTAATGAGAAAGGGTGGACTATCCAAGGAATTTATTGGTATTCTCCTCTGTGGGTCTCTGCACTTCTACTCAGCAAAAAGAATTTTTACCAGGAATTCAAAATAGTTTGCTGGCGGGGGAGTGAGTTTTACATAATTTCTCTTCTGCTCTGTGCTTAAGCAACAGGATAGCAGCCTTTGGTTTTTATCTATACGTTTATTACTGACAGCTGCCCATTTTTAGGGTGGAAAAGCCAGGGATCTGGCCATGGATTAATGTTTCTACAATTGCTGTTCCCTTGTTTCTTTCTCCTTAAGGTTCAGCACTTTGTCAGCCGCTGCACATGTCCGGTCCAATTCTCCATGACCAAAGTGTCAGAGGGGAAATACCGCGTGGGTGATTCCAATACACTCATATTTGTTCGGGTGAGTCAGCCTTTTTTGTGTGTGTGGGGGAGAGAATCTCCCTTGTTAAGAACTAATCATTTTCTTATATTTGTAGTAGGACCCCCGTATCTGCACGTGATTGGTTCCAATACCCTTCTGTGGATGTGGGAAACTGTGGATAATAGTGAACGCTATACATACCATGGTAAAAAAATAAATAAATCCAGAAAAAGTATTTTTACATGCATTTCCAGAACTGGCCACTAGTATGCATGGTAGGTATTCTTCAACAACAAGAATTCATAGTGTGGTCTCTAGCTCGCTCTAGTGACTAGTTCTGGTAAAACATGTGAACATTTTTCCCTGGATGTTTTTCTTTTAATATTTTTAATATTCTTCAGACTGCAGAGAAGTGAAACCATGGATAAAGAATCTTGCAGATACAGGGGTCCTACAGAATTTTTTTTCCTTTTGTTTTAAATTGTTCTATGTTCTAGAATCTTGCATAGAAGGGCAGCCCGTACATCAATAAATGAATTAGTACACAAAGTGGGTGTGCATATTCTTCAGGTATAGGTGAAAAGCATTAATTAGGCCTGTCTTTGTATGAAATATTTTTATCTCCCGTCTTCGGCTGGAGAAAGAACGGATTCCAAAGATCGGGAGTCAGAAATGTTGCCCTGGCTGCAAGCTTACAATCTGGACGTCACAGCACAAAAGGAAAAGGGGGGAGGAGGGAAGAGGAAGAAAAAGGAAACGCAATGGAATGGAGAGCTGGAAAGAAAGAGTACCTTTTGGGGGGGTGGGCAGGTTCTAAATGATGTTTTACCTGCATGTTTTGCTTGCTTCAGATCCTGCGGAAACACGTGATGGTCCGCGTGGGTGGCGGCTGGGATACCTTGGAGAATTATCTGGATAAACACGACCCCTGCCGGTGCACGTCATTATGTAGGTCCCTCCTTCCTTCTTCCACATGTTGCACTGTCCTGCCGGCAGGTCTCGTTCTTTTAAAATACCAATATTGATTGATCAATTGATTATGTTCTGCCTTTCCTCCAGCCAGCTCAAGGCAATGATAATGGTTTCCTTTCTTCTCCCCTAAGGGTTTTACACAATAACCCTTAAAGGTAGGTCCAGGAGACAGACAGACAGACAGACAGACAGACAGACAGAGAGAGAGAGAGAGAGAGAGAGAGAGAGAAGAGAGAGAGAGATATGGGTAGGTGGGTGGGTGGGCGGACGCACGGACGGATAGGCGGGCGGGTGGACGGACGGACAGAGAGATAGACAGAGAGACAGACAGAGAGACGGATGGACGGATAGACAGATAGACAGATAGACTGGCCCTTGATTGCTGAACAGGTGTCATGGTTCAATGAGGACTAGAACCTGAACTGTATAAAACGAATGAAAAACAAAGTGTGCTCCTTGTCTACTAGTCCATAGCACTTCAACCGCTTTCTGGGCGCTTTTCCATTGAATGGTGCAGGCTACCCGTTGCCCCCTCAGCTGGGTACTCATTTTCCTGACCTCGGAAAGATGGAAGGCGGAGTGAACCTTGAGCCGACCACTTGAGCCTGCCAGGATCGCACTCAGGTCCTGAGCAGAATCTTGACTGCAGTCCTGCAGTTGAAGCTCTGCAGCACAAGACCTAGTTATTATCCCAGTTAGGCAATAACCCAAAACAACAAACGAGATGCTGATCTGTTGCCATGGCAGGCAGCTCAGCCCTGCAATGAGTGTTCCCGAGTCAGGATTTGTCCAGGAGTAAATGCCGTTTACATGAATCTCTACGCTTCCAGGGACTGGTAAAGGAAGCCGAGAGTGATCCAGTGGTTGGAGCAGGTAGTGGTTGCACTCAGGGGACCTGGGTTCAAATCCCTTTCCAGCTACAAGACTCCCTGTGTTTCCTTCAGCCAGCCACACCATGTCAGCCGGGCCTACCTCACAGGGACATTGTGCTCTCTCGCTCTCTCTCTCTCTGTGTGTGTGTGTGTGTGTGTGTGTGTGTGTGTGTGTGTGTACCCATAACACTGCCTTGAACTCACTGGAGAAAAATTGGGATCAGAACAAAACAATGCCTCCAATTTTAGTCTATTTATAGATATAAAATGATTATGATTACGAATACACTTAATTTTTTTTCTATCATCATGTCACCCCCATTATTTTAAAAATAAATATATTGAATGATTATTATTATACATATCTATTATTATGAACTTATTATGAATGTATATCATTATGAACTTACTGTTGATGTTGTTCCATTATTCTAAATGTATATTGTTATGTACCTAATGATCTTGACTCTTGCTAATAATGTTGTGGGCAAGACGTATACAGGAAGGCTGTGATATCGGTGAGGGATCGGGTCCAACTTCCCCCAGGGATGGTGAAAAAATGCAGAGGGATTGAACACGATTCATTACTTGGTCTCTGTCTCCCTCTCGCGGTACGTTCTGGTGATGACACCCTGGGAATGTGTATCAATACCTATTGATATACAAGGGATGTGGGTGGCGCTGCGGGTTAAACTTCAGAAGCCTCTGGGCTGCAAGGTCAGAAGACCAGCCATCGTAAGATTGAATCCACGTGACGGAGTGAGCTCCCATCTCTTGTCCCAGCTCCTGCCAGCCTAGCCGTTTGAAAGCATGGCAAAATGCGAGTTGATAAATAGGTACCACCTCGGTGGGAAGGTCACGGCGTTCCATGTCTAGTCGCGCTGGCCACGTGACCACGGAAAATGTCTAAGGGCAAACGCTGGCTCTATGGCTTGGAGACGGGGATGAGCACCGCGTCCTACAGTCGGACACGGCTGACTCAATGTCAAGGGGAATCTTTACCTTACCTATTTATGGGGATTTTTATTTAGTGTTTTCAAGCAGTGGATAAGCGAATCAGCGGATACTGATGCCACAGAGTCCTACTTTATGTATTTTAAAGAAGGATTACCATTTCTTGAGGCCTCGAAAAAGGCAATTTACTCCTTCCCCCCACCCAGGAAAACTGAAAGGCCACACAATCTACCTGAAAGAGGGCCATCTTTTGCTTGGTTCTGAACTGACTTTATTCTGTGAAAGCTTATTGCATTCCAAAGTGTGTAAGCCTTCAGAGTGCCACAAGTCTCTTGGTCATGTTTCTTCCCCCTGATCTTCTCTTTAGCTCACAAGCAGGCCTTGAGGATGGCAGGTTCTCAGAAGACGCAAGCTACTCAGGTCCAGCATGAGATCACGACTCGCTTAACACCCGGGACGGATCACCCCTCCAAGCCTCAGCCGGCTATCATCGTGCGGAGGTCCCAAAGTCCGTTGCCCCTGGTGGAGTGGAGGACCTACGTACCCCACAGCGTCAGCATGGGAAGGAAAGTCCCATCATCCCCGGGGCCCAACCAGAATAGCAGCAACAGCCGGAGGAAGATGGAGGGCCAGTGCAACCTCCGAGATCCCTCTGAACCCAGGTGAGCAGAAAATAATTCTAGAACCCAGATTAGAACCCAGCTCTCCAAAGTGGTAGCCCAAGGCTGTAAACACTACTTCACACAAATATCTGGGGGCCAAAAACTGACAGTTTTTTTTGGATGTGGCACCCTCTGGATGTCAGCAATTGGGAACAACAAGCATGGAAGGCGGTTCATTCTTGGCTTATGAGCTTCTCTGCTGGGTTGACCAGATGGACTTTGAGTTTCATCCTGCACCAGCTGGGGTTCTCTCAACTTAATGTTCAAGATGCATGGAGCCCCTTGGATTGAATCATGGAACTCTAGGGTTGGACAAGATCCAGTTCTCCATCGGATCCAACGTCCGACTGCTGCGGTACATCCAGAAGGTTAAAACATCTTGGAGAGGTTGGTTGCAAACTCTTCAATGGAGGAGGGTCGACCACCTTGCACGGTAGCCCATTCCACTATCAACCAGCTTCTACTGCCAGGAATTTCCTCCTAATGTTTAGTCCAAATCTCCCTTCTTTTCAGTTGAAATCATTGGTTCTCGTCCTGCTCTCGGGATCAGCTTGCTCCCTCCAGAAATTTAAAGATGACTATGTCTGCATCTCTACATCTTCTCTTCCCTTGACTGGTCCTCATAAGGCTAGTTTTACTCCTTTGAATCATCCTCTTCTGAACATATTCCACCTAGTCAACAGCCTTCGTATGGTAATCCCTTACTCAACCAGACCTACCGGTTTAAGTCTTCCCAAAAGATATGTCCCAAGGTCAAAGATGCTGTGCTTTTATGGGGCAAGTCATGACTCCATGTCAAGTCAGAGCAAGCCTAGCATCATAGAATAATTGAATTGGAAAAGTCCTATGAGGCCATCAAGTCCAACCCCCTGCTCATGTGATGGGACATCAAAACCCCAAATAAATTCAATCCTGATCATTGCAAGAAAGCTTTCTGTCCTATCAGGGACCCTGGGTTAAATCCACCTTCTCAATTCTGGTGCCTTTATGTTGGACTACAGCTCCCATTAACCATGCTGGCTGTGTGGATAATGGGAGTGGCATTCCAATAGGCCCAGATGGCACCAGGCTGGGGAAGAACAGGTTTGTGTAAACCGAGGCTGTTGTTCTGCGGGATTTGTTGTGTGTTTGTGTTTTCATGCTCACTTCTTCTTTCCGTTTCAGGGGGAAGGAACAGTCGGCGACTCCCTTGAGGAGGTCTTCAGCTGCCGACGACAGGCCCGGATCCAAGCAGACCTTCTTGACACAGAGTAGAAGAGGGATGTTCTGTGGGTCCTTCTCCTCCGAGCAGAATGGAAACGTGGAGAACCACTTGCTCGGCTCAA